GGAGTGCTACCGTAAAACATGACTTTGCCTGAAAACCGTTATTTAAAGAAAAAAAAACGATTTATAACAACCGATCGAAAATCGGATCAAAAGCTGAGTTTGGCAAACATTAGTAGTCAGCGGAAAACATAGTGTAGCCAAAACATGTTTAAACATATTTACAAAACTCCTATACCGACTGCCAGCTCACTCCTCGGCTCCGACCCTGTGACCTGAAAAACATGAATAATGTGGGGCGTGAGCACTAAATCCACTGTGCTCCGCAGAAACTCATACTGAAGTAAACAGTGAAAATAATTGCAATATCATGATCCTGGCATATACATAACCTGAACATGAAACCGATACTGAAATAATCATAACCTGATAATCATCACATGACCGTTACCTCTGCCAGCATAAAATGTCGGACACCATGTGCACACTCTAGTGGGCAGACTAAGGCCACTAGAACCCAGAATGGACCGGCGACCATTCTAAGCGGATACATGACATGAAATACATACCTCAAACATGGTACCGTAATTATAATCAACGTAATACCCAGTCTGAGTCCCTACCTGAACTGCTGGTTTGAAAATGTAAGTGTTGATCATCTGCAAACTGTAACATATATAAACAAATACTAAGTACTATGCTCAGATTCATTAAAAATAGCTGTTAAGATGCTCGACTGGAACTGATGACTTAACTGGACTTATTGACATGAATTAGGGCTCAACATAGACTAACTTGAACATAACTGGCATTATTGAACTGGACTGACAGAACTGATAACTTAACTGAATTTATTGAACTGACTGACTGGACTTGGAATTTTAACTGAAATCTTGACATCAACATAAACCGGAGTATTAAATATTAAAATATTAGCTAAACCGATCTGAACCGGCCAGTTCGTTGGCTGGCCAGACTGCCGGCCTGCTGTGGCCTGGCGGTCGGCCGTTGGCTTGGCCAACCGACTCGGTAGCGCGCGGGCCTGCTGGTACCCGTGCGCAGGCGCTGGCATGGCTGGGCTCGGCCTAGGCATGGCCGGGCCTTACTGGTTGCGACTGGCGCGGGCATGGGCGTCTGCGTGTGCTGGCGTGCCACTGGGCAAAGCCAACGTGGATTGAACCTCGCTGGGCACAACAGGCGTTAGCCTGGGCTAACTGGACATGATCATGAGCGTTGGCGTGCGACTGACGCGACGCGTGCCCATGGACTGGCCATTGAGCACTAACTGGGCACGACCGACGGACGATTGGACTCGTGGCGTGGCGATTGGCGTTACTGCCGGGCGCTGTGGGCACCGACACTTGTGTGATTGGCGCTGCTGGGTGCTACCGAGCACCGTAACAGGCGACTGGGCATATGGACGCGCGCATAGGCGCTAACTGGCGTGAACTGTTACCGCGTGGGCGCTACCGGGCGGCCCTGACGGTACTGGACACTCGGGCGTGCTGTCGGGCACTGCCCAAGGTCGACTGGCATGCTGCTAACGTGCGATGGAACATGCTGGCGCGCCGAGACATCAACCAACTATCGACTGACGCGGCAGAGGCCGTACGCGATGCCCGACTGAGCACACACGCACGTTGTCCACCCGCCCTCGGACTGTCTGCCGGTACGCGGCTGCCGCTGTGTGCGGCAGCGCGACTACGACCGGCTGTTGTCGTCCGTCCGACAATTTCCTCCGGCATTTCCATCAAAAGTCAACATGATTTACAATAACATGATCCAATATACTGAACCTTACCCAACATCATGAAATTTTACTCGATGAGCTAAGGTGGCCGATGGCGTGCGCACCGTGCGCCGCCTACGGCTTTATGCTGATTCTTCAACCGAACATGAAATTCTCTCGCTAGACATGAATTATTTGAACATATAATAACATATAACGATCAAATAGACATGAATTGTTCGAGAGTTGTCAGATACAAATTTATATTACTCGGTCACGGCCTAACATGGCATAAACCGAACGTATTCTAACTTTTCATGGTTCGAATGACATGAAATGAACATGGTACCTCTAAACTGATCATATTAACATGAATTAATGATGAAGATGATGTTACCTCTTCAATTGCTCGGAATTTGCCGGATAAAAAAAATAAACATGGCTCGATAATAACCTAAATGGCACGACCAAGAGTGAACATGGCCTATTCATGGACCTAACTTCATGATTTAGCCATGACCATGTTGAAATAAGTACATAAACAATTAAAGGAGGTCAATAGCAAATTACCCCCACAATTGAACGTGAAACATTATAAGGCTTGCGTGATTTCTCGTCCCATGCAATAGGCGTGTGCGTGTGTGTCCTCTTGACAATAGCTCAAGGTAAGCTAACCTCTTCACTTAACTCACTAAGCACTTGATTATCCTTTCTATTTTTCGTTTATGCCTGGCAACTCCTCACGGCAAAAACCATATAAAATAAAAGAGAGGATGAATTTAAGTGAAAAGTGAGAAGGAACTCATGACCAATGATCTTTAGCCATTTGCCGTGTGCTTGGGATGGCTATGTGTCCTCACTTGCTTAGTCACTATGGAGAAAGAATGAAAGCCACCTCATGCTTGCTAACATGCTAATGTTCACGTGAATTGAGTTCCTTCCTCGACAATTACACATGCTAAACATGGCTTAATTTAAACTAAACATGATTAGTGCTAAACTAAGCACAATTAAGCTAATCACGATTAACTTTAAGCTAAACACGATTAACTTTAAGCTAATCACGATTAATTTTAAGCTAATCATGATTATTCTTAATTACATAGACGGTGTACCACGATTAACTTTAAGCTAATAACGATTAACTTTAATCTTAATTACATATAATCTTAATTACATAGACGATGTACCACAATTAACTTTAAGCTAATAACGATTAACTTTAAGCCTAATTACATAGACGTTGTACCAATGTGAATGCGTCGCTGTATAGACATGGATAACTTGACGTAAGGAATTTCAACCAAATTATATAATTTCGGTCGAAACATTATTTCGAAAATTATTTCGGACATTGAAATAATTAATCTCAACTTGCTGATGTCCGTTTATTAAATTAACGGACTGAGATTAATTTCTGTCCTTGACTCGGTTAGTAACTAAAATTAACTGGATATACTTTCTACTTAACGTCGAACTTGAAATTTAACTGACTGAATAACTTAGACTTGAACATTAACATGAATATTTATTAACAAAAACTAGCTTATACCCGAAAGCTAGTATTTTCCTTTATTAATAAAATACAGGGCGTTACATTGTGTATATATGTATGGATGTTGAATTTTTTTAAGACATGTTTACTTATAAAATAATTTAGAAAGGTGACCTCACATTTTTTAGGAATAATATAGAATATTTTAGATAATCTTAATTGTAAAATAATTTAGTGTTTTTAATATTTAAACATACATATTTAAGGTTCTTTTAAACAACTTAAAAAACTATAAAAGTTTTAGTGAATATTATTTAGCTAATCAAGTATAATCGATATTAAAATGATAATCTAACAACTCATTTGTCCAACTGTCGTATAAATTATCATATTATAGATAGATCAATTTTAGATTTCTTTTTAAGTTCCAGCAGCACCAGTTCCTTCTGATTTTGGGGGTTCTATTTAACAGTCAAGGTCAGTCTTTTTGTTTAAAAAAAAATAGAAATATTAGTGAAAATTATTTAACTAATAAAGTATAATCGATGTTAAAATGATATGCTTGGATATAATTTTTTTTTTATTTGTTTGTATTTTTTGGTTTGGTTTGTTAATTTTGAAAAGGTGGTGTGGTTAGTTGATAGTTGGTATATTGAAATAATATCTAAAATAAAATAATTAAATGTGGTTTGGTTTAAAAGTATGAGGGAGATGATTTGAACTGATTGTTAATTAAAATTATGCAAGTGAATGAATAGTGAATTAAAGTTGATGTGGTGTGTAAGAATGATTGATTGATATTATTTAATAATATTGAAGGTAGTGAGGTTGAGTTAAATATGATTAGATTCGTTTGGATATCCAAGCATCCTCTAAAACAACAACTCATTTGTCTGACTGCCTAAGTAAATTATTATATTATAAAAGATCCATCTTAGAATTCAATTTAAGTTCCAGAGCACCAGTTACTTCTAATCTTAGGGTTCCATTTAATATTATGCGTTGGCATAATATTAAAGCAATCGGTTCATATCCACGATCAATTATGTTGTTGTTGTGTAAGTATTAGATAAGAGTTGTGCATTAATGACATGTTCTTAAAAATATATGTTTTTTATGACGAACCAATTGTATGTTGTTACGCGTATAAGTAATAGATAAAGAAAAGTTAAGGTCAACCTTTATTTTACGTTGGCATGTTCTTACATAAAACAATTTTTAGTCACATACTACATTTATGTTGTTTGTTTCGTGTGTAAGTAATAGAAAAATGTTGAAAATATTAGTTTGTGGGGATACAAGTTGCTCAATTATTAAACAAATAATATTGTGTACAAGAAAATTTTAAATAATATATTTTTTGCATGAGGAACAATTTGTGGTTTGACAATTTTTTTTCGAATTATCATTTTTATTTATTTATATATTTTAATTTTTAATATTCTTCGAAATAAATACATTCCGTGCATCGCACGAGTTACATATATACTAATAAGATTTCGAAGCAGGAGAGTATGCCATTAGGATTATACTGAGGGGATTTCGTGATGCCTCCACCACAGGCCCGGTGGCAAATTCGTGATTAACTGGTGAATGACGGCTAATTTCTTAAATCACATTGAAGATATTTAGGTCGGGCCCCACCAAGAACAGCGAAAAGGAAAAAAATATAATATATACAAAGATATGTATGTACTGTCAATCTGCACACCAAATCGAATTTACTGAGAGAGAGAGAGAGAGAGAGAGAGAGAGATGGGGATGGAAGCAAGCGAAGACGAAGAGCAACCGGGTCACCTGCTCCGCAAGCGGCTCAAATGCAGCGATGAAGCGGACTACATGGACCAGGACATCAAGCCCGAGATGGCTTCACGTGCGACGGACCGGCTCTTCTACTCTCCGGCGGCGCTGCTAACGGCGATCGTCGTGTCGGATGCCTTGGAGCCCGATTTTCCGATCATTTACGTCAACACCGTCTTCGAATCGGCCACCGGATTTCGCGCTGATGAGGTCCTTGGTCGCAACTGGTAAAAAGTAAAAGCTTATTACTGTTTTTGTATACACGTCAGTCTATGTGTGTGTTTTGGATATTCCGGTAATCGTTTCTAGATTTTCATCTATTACCTGATCCGATTGCTTTGGATTTCCTTGCTTTCCGGGGAAATGAGAAAGAGGTTGAATTTTATTAGGCAAAATTAAAATTCTGAATTTTTGATCGCGTTCTAAATTCGGAATTAAAATTCTTAATTTCCGGTGATTCTGAATTTCCTTAATTTTTGAGCGCATTTTTGGTGTGGAAATCTTGGAATTCTTCATATTTGTTTTGGAAATGAGAAGACGCTGACCTTTATTAGGCAAAATTAAAATTGTGAATTGCATTCAGCCGGTTCTTGCAATTTAGAGACCCGCGTGCGAAGCGGCGGCACCCACTGGTGGACCCTGTGGTGGTCTCTGAGATCCGGAGGTGCCTGGAAGAAGGCCTAGAGTTTGAAGGGAAGCTTCTCAACTTCCGCAAAGACGGCACCCCCTTACTCAACTCCTTACGCCTCACTCCAATCCACGGAGACGACGGCAGCGTGACCCATGTGATTGGCATCCAGGTGTTCTCGGAGGCCAAACTCGACCTCAACAACATATCCTACCCTGTCTTCACCCACCACCACCCCACCTGGACCAACAACCCTCCCTACCACCAACATCCATGTGGCATCCTCCAGCTGTCGGACGAGGTCATCGCCCACAACATCCTCTCCCGCCTCACTCCACGCGACGTGGCCTCTGTTGGCTCCGTCTGCCGCCGCATCCGCCAGCTCACCAAGAACGAGCACGTGCGCAAGATAGTGTGTCAGAATGCGTGGGGCAGGGACGTCACGGGCACGCTGGAGCTGCTGATGGCCAAGCGCTCTAACCCCGGTTGGGGCCGCCTCGCGCGTGAGCTCACCACCTTGGAGGCCGTACGCTGGCGCAAGCTCACAGTAGGGGGGTCCGTCGAGCCGTCCCGCTGCAACTTCAGCGCATGTGCTGCCGGGAACCGCCTCGTCCTGTTCGGGGGAGAGGGCGTCAACATGCAGCCAATGGACGACACCTTTGTCCTCAACCTCGACTCTGCCACCCCTGAGTGGCGCCGGGTGAGCGTGGAGGCGTCCCCGCCCGGACGCTGGGGCCACACCCTCTCCTGCCTCAACGGCTCCTGGCTTGTTGTCTTTGGAGGGTGCGGGCAGCAGGGCCTGCTCAACGACGTCTTTGTGCTCGACCTTGACGCCAAGCGGCCCACGTGGCGGGAGGTCCCCGGGGGGGCCCGTCCGCCTCCCCGCTCGTGGCACAGTTCCTGCACACTCGAGGGCTCCAAGTTGGTCGTTTCTGGGGGCTGCACCGACGGGGGATCCCTCCTCAGCGACACCTTCCTGCTCGACCTCAACGTGGAGCGGCCCGCATGGAGAGAGATCCCAACGGTGTGGGCACCACCTTCGCGGCTGGGACACTCGATGTCGGCGTACGGGCGCACGAAGATGCTCATGTTTGGGGGGTTGGCGAGGACAGGGCACCTGAGGCTGCGATCGGGGGAGGCGTACGTGATCGACCTGGGGGACGAGAGTAGGCCGCCGCAGTGGAGGCAGCTCGAGTGTGGGGATGGGGGAGCGGTGCCGCCGCCCAGGCTGGATCACGTAGCGATGACGATGCCGTGCGGGAGGATCATCGTGTTTGGGGGGTCCATTGCAGGGCTGCACTCCCCTTCGCAGCTGTTTTTGTTGGACCCGGCAGAGGAGAAGCCATCGTGGAGGGCACTAAACGTTCCAGGGCAGCCACCAAAGTTTGCGTGGGGCCACAGCACTTGTGTAGTCGGGGGGACGAGGGTTCTGGTGCTAGGTGGACACACGGGGGAGGAATGGGTGCTCAACGAGCTGCATGAGCTGTGTTTGGCAAGCAGGCAGGATTCGGATCCGTGAATCAATCACATGTGCTTCTTTTCTTTCCTTCGAAAAAAGATTGTATTGTACCTACTGTTTATTTTCCCTGTATTTCGATGTAATGTTGTGTTGTGGTGTTACTGACACTTTAAGGTTCTATATAAGTGGGTGGCGTTTGTATCTGTACATAAGCATGTCTTCTATTATGAGTTATTGCTTTCTATGATTTTGTTCTGAGTGCAGATTTACATGTTTGTTTTCAAAGTGGTTCAAGGATCTTGAATTTCAACCTTCAACTGTTATAGTTCACACGAATTAACTTCCATCAATGCCTGACTTCATTTTTTAGCTTGATCTCAATTCATAATCAACTGATTACAAGATCACCTGATCCAACTAAGACTAACAATGAACACTGAACAATTCAACCCTCACAAAGCTCAAACAGTCACATGCCTAACTAACCAAAATCAGAAATATGAACAAAGATAACAGGAAGTAAAATGAGCAGGACTCCAAATGTCGTCTGCAATTACATTCCATTCCACGTCCAAAGCCTGTTGTAATGGGAGACAGCCAAACTTCTTCGCTCCACACAGCAGATAACATCGCTCTAGTTCTCAACCACACTAACCTCAAGTAACCATGTTAATCTTCTAAGTTCAGCTTCTATAGGATCTCTGCAGCTTCCAATAGATTCATTCCATTCTTTCAACATCCTTCCATTTATTTCAGCGACACCCCTAAGCATGATCAAATCCCTGGACGAGTTCAAGGCACTGATCGAGAGAACAATGTGCGATAGCGTCTTGGAAATTTCTCATCTTGAATCTAACTCCTCAACCTCAGAGTTTGTTGTTCTACTTCTAGTGCTAAGGAAATTTCAGTTTACACCTTCCACTCTCTAAGTGCATTATCAACCACTTCAGTTTCAGAAACCCAAACACCATTAAAGACCCAAAAGTTTTTAGTTTTCCAAAGCCACCAGAGAAGGTAAGTTGAAAGGCTTATCCTATCATTGATGGTTTTGGAGTTTTGAGCTCCTGTTATCTCTAACTAGCAATCTTGAAAAGAACAAGTACCTGTCTCTAGTTTGTGCCATATGATTCCCACCAACTTCTGTAGCGCCCCGTTATTTTAATTACTTGTTATTTTAAATGCCGTTTCATTTTGTTTATATATATACGGTCTTCATATTTTTATTCATGATCTATAATAAGTATGATTTTGAGTTATTTTAATTATTAATTTTGAGTTATTTCAAGAATTGAGAACAATAAATTTAGAAGGGATTAAGACTTTTGGTAAGTTTTGATTAAAGAGTAAACTAAGGAAAATTTCATCATGTAGACTTGAAGGCAGTGGCGAAACACGGATCCCGTTTCGGGGAGGGCCCAATTTGCCTTTAAAAAATTTCTGGTTTATTTTAGTCCTCCCCGAAAGGTAACCCAGTGGCGATTGGGCCCTATTTCCTCACAGAAAGAAATAGATCCGAAATAATTTTTAGTGTCGAAAACGGCGTAAAATAGATAAAAACGTAGTGCGAGCCTTGCGTTGTGGTGAACCCAACACATAGCCCACAAGGAGATTCACAACTGCCCACTTATAATGCCACTACGGCCCAAAGGCAAAGCCCGAGTCAGCAGCCCAACTCATGTTAAAGTCCAACCCAATATATCAATTAACTGGAGGGCAATATAGGCATTTCGCAGACTAAAATATTGAAGGAGAGAGAAAAGCCATCTTCTCCATCCTCACGTACACACCACATCCGCCATTGTTGAGAAGGAGCTGCTCAACCAAGCTGGTCACCTCGCCACTGGTTTATCTTTCGGGGAGGGCCCAATCACCGGCCATCCCGCGGCCACTCCGGCATCGGAAGGGCGCTCAAAGGGCGCCCTTCCAGTTCCAACAAAACCCTCCACCCCTAATTCGAATTTTATTTTTTTTTTTTGGAGGGGCCGGCGCCTCTCCAACCAGTGTTGTGGTTTGCCCCTGCTTGAAGGAGCCGAGTTCATGAGACGATCATCGATGTTCATCTATTTTTGACATCCGATAATTCGAGGTGGAGATTTTCTATGCACTAATTCATTTTAATTGCATGCTATTGTTATGGTTGTAAATACATGTCAACGGGCCTTTGGGCAAATTACCAGGGCCTTCAGGTACTGGGCAGGCCTTTGAGGAAATACATATATACGGGCCGAGGGGTCAAGCTACTGGGTGCATTAGTGCCGCGTGACGACATGTTAATGAGTTCAGTATCCCGAAAGGTATATACATGGGCTAACGAGCCACATATACTAGTGCACTCGGATTTGCACGACTACATGTTAATGATTCACAGTGTCCCTATTCAGTGTTCCAATTCATTTTCAGATAAGAATACCAATATGATGATATTAGTCATTAATTTATTTAATTGCTTAGTTTATCCCCACAAAATTGTTGATGCTCACCCGTCATATAACATTTTTAGGTTGATGAGTTGGCGTCGGGACTCGGGGATCGTGCGGTGGTCAACTTCAAATCAAACTTGTGTTTTTATGTTTAAATGGTCATTTGCATTTAGATTATGACTTCGGTATTTTATGATTGAGTTAGTTTTGAGACTTTGAAATTTGGGTTTGACGCATTATGTTTCCCTTCATCTTTAACTACGATATGAAGTTCATGATTATAATTTGAGTTTTGAGGATATGATGAAGTTGCCGAGTTGAGTTCACAAAGTTTAAATTGCTAAGTTGTTTATGAATTGTATTATCATAGTGCGCAATAGTGAATGTTGAAATGCCTTTGTGCTTTCAAATTAAAATGTTGATTTTAGCTTGAGTATTGTTTTCAAAATTCGTTAAGCCCTCTTTAAAAATGTCATGTTTACTTTCTGAAAGTCGGGGCGCTACAAAGTGGTATCAGAGCGAGTCGAAGATTCTGTAGACTCGATAAATTTGAATTAAAAATTTGCAAAGTTCGACCACTCGCCTCCTTTGTGCCGTGCCGACTCCAATGTATGCATTTTACATGTTACAGTCTGTTAAAAAATTTTAAGTGTTTCATCATGATCATGTTTGCATATTTGATTTAAAGCTGGGGCACACGACCTAATCAAGTAGAAAAAAAATTATTTTTGTGGTACGTCTTGCATTTTAGAGGGCGAAAATATATTAAGGTTGGTAGGTTGTAGCACTCTGTGATATTAATGACCCGTTATTTCAAATACCATTGAATTTTTGTCTTACATAGACGTCTTCATATTTAATTCATCATTTATAATAAGTATGGTTTTTGAGCTATTTTAATTATTATTATTCATGTTAGTAGTCTAACTAATTTTTATCCATCAATAATTGAGGAAAATAAATTTAAAAAGTAAGTTTTTATTAAAGAGTAAATTAAGTTAATTATCAAAATAAAAAGGACAGATAAGAGAGTGATTTTAAAGAGAAACGACCAAATTATATCCTCTCCTTCTCTATATCATTAACTCCCTTTCAGATTCATGAATCGGCCATCAATCCTCTCTTTCTACATTCTCAATTTTTTTCTTCTTCTCCTCAAGCAACCAAGATTCTTCGCGGTGTTCACGAGCAATCCTTGAGTCCAAGCCATCCATAAACTCACGAGCAGACCTAAGCCGAGATCTTCTTCAGTCTGGATAAACTCCCATAAGGTCGAATTATCTCCCTTTTTTGGCAAGGTAAGCCACTACTAGAATTTAGTGCATTAGTAACGAATTTTTGCAACGGATTAGTATTGGTGCCATAATTACGGTATTAGTAACATAATTTTGCAACAGAATTCAAGTTGGTGCCATGGTTATGAGTTTTTGCAACGGAATCTAATTTGATTTTATTATGAAACCACATTTCATTTATTTAGCTGGCTAGGTTTAATCCGAATAAAAAATAATAATTAATTGTTAAAATTAAATGTACACAATGAGATTTTACTGAAATTTAAAATTCAATTAAAAGACTCATTATGATGATTAATGTCGAAAATGATTGCCTTATATACTACTTTGAATAATAAATGGACTGAAAATTAACCGTAGTGAAGTGATCTTTCTTCGATTTGAAAATTAGTGATTTGAATTTTCAATTTTGGGTGTCCTCAATTTTTCTGTCTCGCCCTCGCAATTGGTTTCATCTACAAAAAAAAAAAAAAATTACATTCTGTAGAAGTGGCTCGATCAGTTCTATCATATACCTTCTATCTGCACTCAAAATCACCAGTGAAATACTGAAAGTACATAAAATCGTCATGACGTTGTTCAATTTTTGGCTTACGCCAAATTAAATTTGAATACTAATGAATAGGGGTATGCACAATTCGACTAAAACCAAACAACCGACCAAACCAAAAATTTTGGTTCGGTTATATCCGAATCAGTCGGATTTCGATTTTCAACATATAATTTTTCGGTTATTTCAGTCGGTTTCGGTTTCCGGCTTTCAAATATCCGAATAACCGAACCGACCAAATATATAT